TGTATGTATGTATGTATGTATGTGTGTATGCATGTGTGTACGTATGTGTGTATGCATGTGTGTATGCATGTGTGTATGCATGTGTGTACGTATGTGTGTACGTATGTATGCATGTGTGTATGTATGTATGTATGTATGTATGTATGTATGGACAGATGGACGGATGGATTAGAAGTTATGGGCCGGCCAAGCAAAGACCTTGTTTAATGTTTGACCTTGACCTTGAACCAGGAGTGGTAAATGTGTTTGTGACTCTCCATCTTGTGTGTATTTGTATCCAGTTTAGTACAATTTATCTTGAGTGAATCAGACGTTATGGGCGGGAAAAAAGAACGTTAACGTACAGAAGGGGACTACGTATATCACAGTACGTCCCACCTGTCAACAGACGTATAATAAAAGCTGAAAACAATGTGAATGCTGTATCAACATTCAGACAATAACGACAACAATAAACACAACAAACATGTTTTATTTCCATCATTTAAAGTCGTACCTGTTTGAGACACTTTGTGTTCCCCATCAGGATGTGTTTACACACCAAGCTCTGAAGAAGAGGGTGGGAGCTCCTGTCCAGCTGAGTCAGGAAGCTCAGGCAGAAACCCTGAGGTCCACATGGAAAACACACACACACACACTTATTGCAACCTCTGAATACAAACAAGTCTGAACACAGGAGGCATGTTTGAATCCCAAATGATAATTTTCTAAAAGTTCTCATGTGTTGCTGCTACACTTCAAAACCATATACGTGTCCTACAGAATCATCACCTGGTATTGAAAGACGCAGACGGACAACGATGTTGTTCTCGTGTCTGTGTTTGTCTGTTAGCCAAATATCTCATGAATCACAATAAAGATTTTAATCTTTCTTTCAGGAAATAATAACTGACAGATTTAAATGAAACTACAGCTGATTAACATTTAAAGTCAGTCCAATTTAATATGGCCACCACTAGGGGTGCACCGATAAATCGGCCCCGATTTCCTTAATTTGGGGAGATCGGCGATCGGCCGATCTTTAAATGAGAAGCCGATTTTATCCACCGATCTTATCTGCCTCCGGAAAGTTCTGAAAATCAGCTGCTGTCCCCTTTTGCTCCACTGTGAGAGCTCACACACAGGTCACTCGGAGCAGCCATGTCGTCGGTTTGGAAGTTCTACGCTGTAAAAGAAAATTAGCCAAAGATCGCAATTTGCAATTCGTGTAAAGCCGAAGTAAGTCGTGGTGGAGCCACCACCAAAACCTTTAATACAACAAACCTCGTTCGCCATTTAAGAAATCACCACGCCGCCAAGTATGCAATGTTTGAAGAGAGCAACCAAGCTAAGGCTAATGCTAAAGCTAGCGCTAACAAAGAGGCAGTCGGTGGGTCGCTGTTAGCTTTTATGAGCAACGAAAAGAGCAAAGCTACCATGAGGAAAGTGATGGAGTTCATGGCATTAGACAACCAGCCATTTTCAGTCGTTGAGGACAAAGGTTTTAGAAGCTTGATGCAGCACGTGTGCCCACGATATAATATGCCGAGTCGGAAATATTTTTCTGATGTTGCATTACCGGAGTTGTTCAGCCAAGTTTCGAGAGACACCCGCAGCCTGCTAAAAGCCAATACAAATACACTCAGCTTTACAACAGACATCTGGACTTCTGATGTAAGTTTAATGTCCATGTTATGTTTTACTGCACAGTGGATTGACGAACAGTTCGAACGTCATCAATTACTCTTAAACTGTAAAGAAATGGCAGGGTCTCACACTGCGGCCAATTTATCAGCAGAGTTTAAGGCGATGCTGAATCACTGGGAAATCGATAATGGAAGAGTTCACGTTGTTTTACGGGATAATGCTCGTAATATGGCCAAAGCGCTGGATGATATCAACCTGAAAAGTTTACCCTGCCTGGCACACACACTGCAACTGGTTGTAAATGAGGGACAGCTGGCGCAGCATCACAGACATGGTGGCAACAGGAAGGAGAATTGTTGGACATTTTAAGCATTCATCACTTGCCTATTCCCGACTTTATGACATACAGACACAGTTAGGTCAACCCAGGAAACGATTACAGCAAGACGTTTCAACGAGGTGGAGCAGCACAGTCTACATGCTGCAGTCGCTGTTGGAGCAGAGACGTGCTATTGGCGTGTATGCTGCTGAGCATGAGTTACCAGCCACACTCACAGCACACCAGTGGGAGCTACTGGACAATGTGCTCACCATTCTTGCACCTTTTGAGGAACTCACAAAGGAGATTAGCTCATCAACAGCTACAGCAGCAGATGTCATCCCAGCCATCACTGCACTCAAGCGGATTTTGGAGAGGCAAGCGAGCACAGACCGTGGCGTGGGTACAGCCAAAGCTACGTTGCTGGAGGCTGTTGTGAGAAGATTCAGCAACATTGAGCATGAGCCCCTGTACAGCTTGGCCACTGTTCTGGATCCAAAGCAAGTAACTATTAACATTCTATTTTAGCCATTATTACTTTTAGCCTACTACTATATTTCAACAAACATTTCAATTAAATTAAAAATAAAAATTTCTTGATTGAAATGCATTTCTTTATTTACATGCAAGTCATAAAAACTGTTAGTGTATACAAAACACAATGATTGACCCATCTTTCTTTGTTTATGCAAAACAAGGTACAAGAATCGCTACTTCTCAGCAGAGGTGAAAGATGACGTGAAACTGCTCCTTTTGACCAAACTTGCAGAGGGGGAGACCAGATGCACACCTGCTGCAGGAACATCCTCTGAAGTGGGACCTCCTGATATAGATGAACCTGCAGCCAAAAGGCGTAGTCTACTGTTTGCAGCTCACGACGAAATCTTAAAGGAGAACATTGAACAGGAGCAACAGCTGGCCAGCCCTTCAGCTATGCAGGTACAGAACTACCTATCTGAGGTTCCTGTCCAAAGGAGCCAGGACCCATTGGTCTACTGGAAGATCAATGAAAATCGTTTCCCTCATCTTGCTCTACTTGCCCGAACCTATCTCTCTGCCCCATGCACAAGCGTTGAAAGCGAGCGCCTGTTTATCTTGGCTGGACATGTAGTAGATGAGAAAAGAAGTCGCCTGTCTGGTGACAAAGCAGAAATGCTTTTGTTCATCAAGAAAAACCTGCCACTAATGAAAGTGACTGGAATAAGTCTGTGAGAACTAACTTACCTGTGCCAGTGTTAGTTCTTATTACCCACTGACGTGAAAATGTTACACTTGTTGCATTATCTTTTTAAGTTTAGTTTTTTTTTAAATGTAACAAGTGAAAGAGTTGAAGGAACTGAACTTTTTTTTTTTTAGTTAATTTTATAGTTTTAACAAAAATTGTGTAAACTTCATTTATATTTCAGAATACTACCTCATGACAAGTTAAAACAACAAGTTTGTATTGTTTCTAGGGTATTTTTCAAGGGTATGTTTTACAATAAAATAAGATTGTAAATTTAAGGTGCATTGTGACCTTGTAACACCTGACACTGTTGCTTATAAAAAAAAAATCGGTATCGGCCAAAATCGGAATCGGCAGTTCAGACTTTCAAAAAATCGGTGATCGGCCTGAAAATTGAAATCGGTGCACCCCTAGCCACCACAACTAGTCCACACGAGCAACACAGAAACGGCTCAACTTTACAAATAATGAGCTAAATTTGATGTGGAAGCAGCCGAGTCATCATCATCTACTCTGTGAATAAATCTCCAGATACTGTGACTCAACATGTCCACCATCACAAGAACTGATCCAAACTGTGTTCTTCATGATGAGAGTAACTCTCGACAGGTGGATGGTGCTGGTGACTCTTTAAAGGAATGAGAAGATGCTCCTCATTTTAACATACGATGCTTGAAGCAACAGCATTAGGTAAGAACTTAACACAGATAAAAGTTGGGTATGTTCATGTTCTCCATGGAAGAGGGATACAACAAAAAGGAATGAAGAGTGAATGCAGTTTTTGATATGAATGTTTTTCTGGACTGGAACTGAACACAGAATGTAAAATAATGTTTTTACTGCAAGATATTCAAGTGGGGAGGAGTTACACTGTGGAGAAGAACAGAGGGAGGTTTTGATTGTCCGAGTGACGGATCCTGATGAGTGGAGGGAGCAACTTTATCCATGACCAGGCACAATGGTGGAGCTAGAGGGTGGCCAGCGGTGGCCTTGACCACCATAGATTAATCTTGAGCCACCCCAATCATTTGAGGAAACTAAACTGTTAAGCAATATAAAAACTAGAAAGCTTAGTTCCTTTAAATGATTGGCATGGCCGGTTTATATGCATGTTAAAAAATTTAAATATGGTGAAAAGTTTTTTTTTTTTTGTTTTTTTTTTTTGTCAGTCTGTTCAGAAAGTGAAACTCTTTATATAGATTTGTTACACATAGTGAAATATTTCAGGCCGTTATTTTTTGTAAATTTGATAACCGTGGATTACAAATAATGAAAAACTAAATTCAAAATGTGTAGCTTCCTACCTCATACAGTGATCGCTGCACACTGCGGCAGGGATTCGCTGCTGCGTACTTCAGAGCCCGGCACAGGGTCCGAAGACTGTAATGGGGTCGGTGACCGGTCCCATCCGTCAAGTGGGAGTTGGCCTCTTTTCGTGTTGCTAGGTAAAAACTAAAACATGAAACATAAATAAATATAAATAACCTCAACAAACAATCAGGGAGGTGTCAAAGACAGATTCAGGTGTATGCAGTGAACACACAGTTGGGCTCAAACATTTATTTCTACTGGTGTATAATTATTAGATTTATCGCAGGTTTTATTTATTTGAACCATTCTTTATCGAGCGTGGAACATTTTTACAACGTGCAACTTTAAGCATATCAAAAACAAAGCTGAATGTATTGTAAATGTTTTCTGATCCACACAAGGTAAAAAAAAAACGATACATACTGGTTTAAATATATACATACACCCCACTAATAAGTAGGACTGGGTGATATGAACCAAAATTAATCTCAATATTTTTAAGATAAATCGCGATATACGATATATACATTGGTATCTCAATATTTTTTCTTTCCATAAAGTAATAACACAAATACATTTCTGAATCAAAGCTTTGTCCCAGTTGTCACGCAGGCACATTTATTAACAAACAGCTGTAACTGTAAGAAATAAATGTCTAAAAAAATTAACTATTTACATATATTAAAGTTTGTTTTTTTAAAGATTTATTTACATATACAAGTACAAGTTGTGCTTGTGCTAACAAAAATATATTTCTGAGTCAAAGCTTTGGCACAATTGTCACACAGGCACATATAATAAATACTATAGTAAATATTTATTGGTAATAAGTATTTAAGAAATATAATCCAATGAGCTTTGATAGCTTTATTAGTTTCTGTTTTCTTAAAGTGTTTCATAAATGCATCAATCATAAACCAGAAGTGTACTCATTTCTAAATACTGTCATTGTTTTAACTTGGTAGTTTCAAATACATTACATACATAATGCAGCACCTCAGACTGAAGAAGTCTTTCGGATGAAAGATGAAATGTTTCTTCAATTTGTTTTGTTTTTATTGAATGTCCAGAGGACCAGATTTAACTTTTTTAGATTAAAATGCATTGTTTTATATTTCTTTTTCATAATTTTATTGTGTTTAATGTTGATCTTAACTTTGCATTTAACCAACTGTTAATGGTCCTTCTAAGGACGGGTGTTACAAATTAACTTTGGCTACGTACACTGTGATGCAGGCATTAGATTGTTTTGATCTAAGTTCTTTGTATCTGTCCCTATCAAATAAACAATAAATGAAAAATAATATCTGACGAAATGTCACTTGGTAAGTGGCACCAGAACCACATGCTTTATGTCAGTCATGTTCATGTTAATCAACAAGCCTGTGGTAAAAAAAGGCTCCAGGCCTTTCTCTCCTGTTTTCTCTTTTCATAGCTTCAAACTGATAGTTTTTCAACCACAGACATCTCTCTGTACTGGTTTCACCTCTACAGACTATTATCTGAAAGTACCATATTTTCCAGCATATAAGTGACACCTTTGTACATAAATTTGCAAGTCCTGCGACTTATTCATCGAAGTGACTAATATACAGATTTTTCCCCAAAATTTATAACCCAATTTTTGACTGACATTTAAAATGTTCATTCATAGACATGAACCAGAAAACATTACCAGTTGCAGCCGCTAGAGGGCCCTCTAGGCTTTTTTATGTTGTTCCTGAAATTTTTGAAGGAATGCAACAGCGAGACCTCCCTCTGCGCACTCCCACAGCTGCCAATCCATTTAAGAAATGAAGCTGTTTTGACCAATAAGTGCATTTATTAACGAAAAGTTCAACTGAGACACACCTTTGCTATAAAGTTGAGCAAACAAACAATTGTTTTTAAGTGTTAATCTTGTTAAATTCTTGTTAAAATCCTCCCTTTTGGCACAACACCGGCCCACATTTCCGGGTTGTCAGCGATGACGCGTAACAAACACGGCACGTCAGCGGTGACGCGTAACAAACGCCACACGTCAGCGGTGACGC